CCTGTTCAGGCACAGACAGGGAACAGTTTACAGGACCAGTCTTGTAATATTAGGACCAGAAGTGGGAGGAATAGGGCATGGGGCTTCTTTTGGGGGTGATAGAAATATTTAAAATGAGGTAGTGGCTATGGCTGCACAACTCTGTGAATATACTAAAACCGGGACTGGTGCCCCTTCCAAGGGTGATTTTACTGTATTTAAGTTATATCTCATTAAAAAAAAACAGCAGCCAACCTCCAGTGAAAGATTGTGTGAGTGTGTAGGTGTGAAGGAAGATGTATGACTCTGTGTGTGTGTGAGTATGTGTGTGTGTGTGTGTGTGAGAGAGAGAGAGAGAGAGATTGTATGTGTGCGTGTAGGAGTGAAGGAAAATGAATGTGTGTGTAGGTGTGAAGGAAGATGTATGAATGTGTATGTGTGTGTGTGTGTGTGTGAAGATGTATGAATGGTAAACCAGGACCACATACATACCGGTAAATTCCAATGAAAGTACACATTAAGAACAAAGATCATCTAGAAAAAACCTTTTGACTATAATATATAATCCATGGAGTTCCCTAACACAATTTGAAGCTGAGTTTGTCCAGTGTGGGATTAAATGATGGCTCATGAGTAAACAAGCCCACCACGAAGCTGTTAAAAATAATAAATAACGAAGCAGGTGTATAGGTGTGACATGGAAAGTGTTCATGACCTGCTAGGAAGACAAAGCAAGCTGCAAAACAGTATGTAAAGTGTGGGCCTGTTTCCATACAAATAAATAAGGGCTGTAGAGATGACTAAATGTGCAGCTATAAGGCAGGGGGTAAAGAGTAAGTATGGGGTGACGAGGGAACACTTTTACTTTCTGAGTAAAATGTTTCTGCAATGGTTTGAAATCTGTAGAATTTTCGCTGGTTTAAAAATCAGAATACAGCAGTCAAATGTTAGCGAGCAAAACACAGAAAATTAAATGAGTTTCCTTTCATTTCCCAATAACCCCTTCTCCTCAGGTGCAAAGCAGTGTCCTGAGAATGGAGAGGAGGAAAGGCCCTGGCTGGTTTTCTCAGTGGTTAGAGCATCGGCCTGCACACCAGAGGGTCTCGGGTTCAATTCCCAGTCAAGGGCACGTACCTGGGTTGCAGGTTCGATCCCTAGCCCTGGTCACTGAGCAGGGAGGCAACCAATTGATGTGTCTCTTTTGCATGGATGTTTCTCTCTCTCTCTAAAAATCAATGGAAAGAATATCCTCGGGTGAGGATTAACAATAGATAGATGATAGACGATGATAGGTAGATAGATAGATAGATAGATAGATAGATAGACAGACAGACAGAGGAGGAAAGGATAGATAGGCCGGTGCACTGGCACTTACTGGTCTGGGCTGGAAATGCTCGTCCGACAGGCCCCACTTGTCCCTGTGGTACTGGTAATACACCAGGTTCTGCTGCATGACCTTGTCGTTGGGGTCAAAGAGCAGGTAGCTGACCGCGCAGGGCGCTGCGTTCTTCAGGTCACTCACTGGGGTTAGGGAGAAAGAGGAACAGGACATCCATTGCTCTCACCTGCCACCCTTCCTTACAGCGCAGCTTCCTCAAGGAAAAGGTGGTGCATGAGCCCCTTCTGGCAGCCCCTCCTTCCGAAAACCTGCAACCAATCAGGATCATCCCTGGGCGGGCAGGTCACAGACAGGGTCTCCATGGCAGCCTGGAGTTTGGAAACCTGCAAGCTCCTTGTTAGGCAGAGGCCTTTGCAGAAATGCCTACTATCTTCCACCTCAGGCTCTGATCTGAGCTGGTCTCACACCCGTGGAACCGGAGAAGCCTGAGGCCCAAGGCCTAGAATGCCGTGGGGCTGAGGAGAGTGAGGGAGGATGTGCTTAGCAAATGAGCCTCCCCATTGGGGTCCTCAAGTGCCTGGGTCCCATTTGGATGAAACCACAACCTCCAGATTCAGGTGGGCTCTCCAATAGCTAAACCAAACGTAGAAAACCCAAAAGGACGGTGGACTCTCCAGGCTGGAAGAGATTTGAAAAGTCACCTGGGCCCGGCCAGTGTGGCTCAGTGGATAAGCATCGACCTATGAACCAGGAGGTCATGGTTTGTTCCCCAGGCGGGGCACATGGCAGGAGGGAGCCGATCAATGATGCTCTCTCATCATGGATGTTTCTATCTCTCTCTCCCTCTCCCTTCTTCTCTAAAACCAATAAAAATATATATATAAAAAAGTGCCCTAGCCAGTTTGGCTCACTGGATAGAGCATCAGCCTGTGGACTAAAGGGTCCCAGGTTCGATTCCGGTCAAGGGCATGTACCTCAGTTGCAGGCACATCCCCAGTGAGGGTGTGCAGGAGGCAGCTGATTAATGTTTCTGGCTCTCTGTCCCTCTCCCTTCCTTTCTGTAAAAAATCAATAAAATATTTTTTAAAAGGTCACCTGGTCTTTTCATCTCCTGGAAGCAAGGTTCCCTCCAGCCGCCCTCCTTAGAGTTGCCCCACCTACAACAGCACTTTTATTAGCATAGGAGTTTAGGAGAGGTTGGGATTTGTCTTAGAGCTGGGGACAAGGAAGAAGGCACATTCCACCCAATTTACAACCGAGGAACAACACCAGTGCCTTTGCTAAAGCTCTGGGTATGAATAAATCATGCCGCCTAGTGGCTGTTTCTGGTAACGACAACTTTAAAACCAGGCTTTTATGAGCCACTTCTTCACAGGGCCCACCACCGGCACTCAAGAAATGAGTGCAGTAGGTAAAATTATGTCCCCTTGAAATGTTCTGACTGATAAAGTTCAGGCTAAGAGAGGACCAATGGGAAGGAAACTGTAACAGTCAGAAAAGTAAGGCCCATGACGGGGAGGAAGGGGAGTTAACGACAAAAAGAACAAACACCTTTATAAAGAGTTTGCTCTGTGCCAGCGGGTGAGCACCCTCAGCATTCCATGTCTAGCAACGGCTTTAATCCTCACCACAATCGTATGAGGTTAGGGCTATTATGTCTACTTTACAGATGAGGAAACTGAGTCACAGAGAAGTGACAAAGCTAGAAATTGAACCCAGGCAGTCTGGTTCCTGGGTCTGTGGGCTGAGTCACCACGCACGCTGCCTTTTTGTGCAAAGCATGCGGTAGGGCTGATGATGTGACCTGGATGGAGTCTCCCAAAACCGCAGGTCCGGGTCATTACCTCTCCTGTACAGAGGGGGAAGCCGAGTCTTAGAAGGACGAAGGCCCTTGCGCAAGATCTCCATAGAAGAGGATTACTTACACTTATAATAAGCAAACTGCAAATAATGATACATGGTAGCCACAAACTTCTCCACTGGGTAGCCTCCTATAACTGGGGTGAGGTTCCCTTCGCACTGGAGTTTGCATTCCAGAACTTCTACGTAATGATCTGAAAGAACAGATAAATGTTCAGAGCTATGCACGCATTACTTTCTTTCTTTCTTTCTTTTTCATTACTTTCTTAATGGTCCTTCTGCCGCACCTCCCAACCAATAAAGGTAAAAATGATAAATGATGAAGGTAACATATTTGCAACACTTATGATGAAGGACTCAAACCTTTAACATGTCAAGTTTCTCAAATATTAACAAGAAAAAGACAAATATCCAATGTAAAAATGGTCAAAAAGATGTGAAGAGAGAAGAAATGATAAAAAAAAAATGGCTCATAAACATTGTGGAAAAGATGCTGAATCTCATTTATAATTAAGAAATATAGTCCCACCTAAGATCACTTAAACTGTTATATTGGCCAAAATTTTAACAATATGATGACACCCAGTGTTAGGGAGAGAATGGTGAGGCTTACACTCTCATATTCTGTTGGTGGAAGCAAAACAGGAACAGATTTTTCAGAGAGCAATTTGGCAAAATTTATCAAAGGATAATTTCCTCTGACACAGTGGTCTAGTTCCGGGAAATTTTCTTTAGACAGAGCCACACATAAGCACTGTTCAAAACAGCAAACAAACATGGAAATAACCTAAATGCCAATCAATAGGATGGTGATTAATGAATTATGGTACATATAAATCTATATAGCCTTTAAAAGAGATTGGAAGGACCTAAATATAATAACATAGAAAGATATCAAAGGCTACATTTCCCAGACTCCCTTGCAGTTGAATTGGGGCTCTAGGACTAGCTGTGCCAATGATATGTGAATAGCGACAACAAAAAAAAACGCTCTTACTGGGCCTGGCTCCCCAACACCTCCAAATAATACTTGGCCCGCTACCTTCTCTCCCTTCATGTAACGACAAGCAAAGACTCCAGAAAAATGGTACACATCTTGTTAGAAAGGCACTCTCTTATATTGCTGGTAGGTGTACAAAATGGTAACAAAATACTAAATAATTTATGGAAACATTTACTCTTTGAGCAATCAATCCCACTTAAGTTGACTTTGAAAACACACCTCCATAATTAGAATAAAAAATCTAAAATGTCTCATTGTGGTATTATATGAAATAGCAAAAGATTGGAATGACCCAAATGTCCATCAGATAAGTGAATAAACTGTAGTATATCGCCTCCTCCCCACGCCAATGAAGTATTTGGCAGCAGTAAAAAAGAATGACACAATCTCTATATACTCCTTAGGATACATTGTCAAGTGGAAAACACTAAGAACAGAACAGTGTATAAATATGGCACCTACTCTATATGAAAGAAGCAGACAAAAAAATAAGAAGGAAATAGATTCGTATACACAGAACCTTTATAGAAAAACAATGATTCAGGCAAGAATCCTCAACAGAGGCTAAGCCAGAGGAGTGGGGTGGTGGTAGGGGACACAGAGTTTGATAGACAGCAAGTTGTACCTCTCCACAAATTCCTTATTAATCTCGAAAGGAAAAATAGTAATTATATTGTGGAGACACTGGAAGCTGAAAAGAACCTTAACCAAATGCTCAAAAATTAGCATCACCAATAAGGGGCAAACAGACACCACCCACATCTGGATGCAATACTCAGGAGGACACTTCTGTAATGGTCCAGCCAAACACACATAACCCGAATGCCATTGTGAGGACACATCACAGAAACCCAAACTGAGGAGTATTCTATGAAGGGATTGCCCTACATTCTTAGAAAATACCAGTGGCTCCCTCACCGGTTTGGCTCAGTGGATAGAGCGTTGGCCTGCGGACTGAAAGGTCCCAGATTCGATTCCGGCTAAGGGCATGTACCTTGGTTGCAGGCACATCCCCAGTAGGAAGTGTGCAGGAGGCAGCTGATCGATGTTTCCCTCTCATCGATGTTTCTCAGCTCTCTATCCCTCTCCCATCCTCTCTGTGAAAAATCAATAAAATATATTTTGTTTTTAAAAAAAGAAAATACCAGTGGCATAAGAAAAACAAAGAAAGGCCAAGGAACAGCTCTAGATGAAAAAACACGACAGAAACAAATAATTAGGAAACATGATCCTTGGCTAGAACGCACCAGGCAAAAAAAGTTGCTAGAAAAGACACCACTGGGACAGTTGACAAAATTTGAAAATGGACTGTAGACAAAAGCATTGTACCAAGATTCAGTTGCCTGAGGCTAGTAACTGTACTGTGGATATGTAGAGAATATTATTGTTCTTAGGAAATACACTAAAGTATTATGGGTTAAAGGGTCATGATGTATGCAACCTACTCTCAGACGGTCCTGAAATAAAAATAATTATACACACACACATTGGGAGAGAATGAAAAAGCAGCACACTCAATGTCAAAAATGAGTGAACCTGGCCCTGGCCGGTGTGGCTCAGTTGGCTGGAGTGCCGTCCTGCGCACGGAAAGGTTGCAGATTTGATTCCTGGTCAGGGCACATGCCCTTGTTGCGGGTTCGATCCCTGGTACATAGTGGATTGTTACACTCTTCTCTCTATTTTTCATACATGTTTGAAATTTTCCACAACAAAAAAGTTTTGGTAAGGAAAAAAAAAGAAAGGAAAAAAGGTACTCAGTGGAAAAAGAGATACCTGAGCACAAGAAAATGATTTAAAAAACCCTAGATTCACCAGACTACAAGATTTCTACGAGCCTTTAACCACTAAAGCGCACAGTGACTTTCAAGAGGCAGACAGTGCTCAGCTCTTTCCCAGACTTACCTGACAAGGGCACCCTTTCTACGAGGTGCAGTTCTAGGCTCAGTGTTCCCCAAACCAACTTGAGAAATCCTTTTATGGCCATTTCCCATTTTCTGGAGCGATGCTGCCCACTAGAGGTTAAAGAGAAAACCTCGGGAAATCTGAGCTAACTCTGCGTGATGTAAATTTTCTTCATTCTCTCCTGTGTTTTCTAAGCTTCCTATAATGAACATGCATTGTTTTATAATCAGACAATTTCCTTCCAAAAGTTACCTTCGTGGCAACTATTTAGAGGCTCAGTGTACTCTTCGTTCTGCCTTTGTTTGTGCTGAAGCATTTCCAGTCTTAGAGTGGTCTCAGTAACGTGAGGCACGAGGTACTCATGGGCCCATTTTTATTTTCCCAGGAACCCCGACCAACCTGCTATGGAAAGATAGAAATCCTTGAAGTCCGTGATCTCCCTGGCGCCCTCGCAGGCTGCGAGACACTCGTAAAAGGCTTTGAAGAAGTCGGGAAGGGCCAGCTCCATGTCGGTGATGGACGTCCTCCAGTTCTCACCGTTGTACGCCCGCACGGCTCGAATGAACAGGCTCTGGAAAGCAAGGAGAAGCTAATGAAACTCCCAGACGTGAAGGGAGAGGGCCCTGTCCTCCCAGAGGAATCAGACCACCACAGAGCTCCATTCTCATTCATTCTGAAGAAGCCACGCTGACCCCTCATTAAATAGAAGCCAGTTAGTGACTTATTTCTTTTCTCTTTTTAATATATTTTTATTGATTTTCTACAGAGAGGAAGGGAGAGAGATAGAGAGTCAGAAACATCGATGAGAGAGAAACATCGATCAGCTGCCTCCTGCACATCTCCCACTGGAGATGTGCCCACAACTCAGGTACATGCCCTTGACCGGAATCGAACCTGGGACCCTCAGTCCGCAGGCTGACTCTCTATCCACTGAGCCAAACCAGTTTCGGCTAGTGACTTATTTCTGTCTAGCTTTTTCTACCCTGTGTACAGTGGTACACGTCTTTTTTAAAAAATTATATTTTTATTGATTTCAGAGAAAGGAAGGGAGATGAAGAAAAAAACATCAATGAGAGAGAGTCATTGATCAGCTGCCTCCTGCACGGCTCCCTGCTGAGGACTGAGCCCACAACCTGGACATGGGAGAGAGAATCATGGATCGGCTGCCTCCTGCACGCCCCCCAGCTGGGGATCGAGCCCACAACCTGGACATGTACCCTGACCATAAATCGAAACCTGACCTCCTGGTTCATGGATTGATGCTCAACCACTGAGACACACTGGCCGGGCCAATGGTACACTTCTTATTTTATTTAATTCAAAAGGTAGCAAGTGGTTAATAATAAAATTAGGTTCGAGTCAAGGATAAAGAAGAAACTATAGTGAAAGAAATCAGAGTAGCAGTCCCCAGGGGGTCAGGGTTTGGGGCAAAGGCAAAACGGACATGAGAGAACGTGTTAGGGGAGATGAAAATATTCTATGTCATGATGATGGTGGGAGTTACAGGACTGCATATATTAGTCCAAATTCATTGAATTGTACATTTTAAATCTGTAACTAAAATTTAAATAAATTATACCTCAATAAAGCTGATCTTAAAAATTGAATCCAGGAAAAGATATAAGCTGGAGAGCAGGTGTCGAACACCTGTCCCCTAACAGTGCAGTAATAAATAGGGCGGCCATCCACCAGCCCCAGTTCCTGGGGTGGGCAGGCAGCCATGTGCCACACAGAAGAAACTTCATGGAATTTCTGCTCTAAAATTTAAATAAATTATACCTCAATAAAGCTGATCTTAAAAATTGAATCCAGGAAAAGATATAAGCTGGAGAGCAGGTGTCGAACACCTGTCCCCTAACAGTGCAGTAATAAATAGGGCGGCCATCCACCAGCCCCAGTTCCTGGGGTGGGCAGGCAGCCATGTGCCACACAGAAGAAACTTCATGGAATTTCTGCTCACTGTTGACCAGATCGGGTAAAAGAGAAGTAATGAGGGCTGAGGAAGCAGCGTGGTCTCACAAGAAATAAATACACATCTCGGATACGTGCACAGACCTGCTAACCTGGAGGGGCCAGAACAGCCTCAGCATGCTCTCCTGGAAAACTAAAGGGACCCCAGGAAAGAGACTTCACACACTACGTGTGAGGGTCACCACTACTGAAAAGTGAGTTGGCAGGCTGGTCACACGGGAGGAAATGCTGTAGTCAGACCTTGGGCTCCCTTGTCTCCCCCCTGCATACTTTAAACATATCCCTGTGTTTCCAATCCTGCTCTATCTTTCATTAATATTCATGTCCCCAGTGCCTGAGTTCAACAGGCCGGGACCATGGTAAGTGCAATGGTGAGAAGGGTTAGGCAGGGGTGGGCAAACTACGGCCTGCGGGCCGGATCCGGGCCGTTTGAAATGAATAAAACTAAAAAAAAAAAAGACCGTACCCTTTTATGTAATGATGTTTACTTTGAATTTATATTAGTTCACACAAACACTCCATCCATGCTTTTGTTCCGGCCCTCCGGTCCAGTTTAAGAACCCATTGTGGCCCTCGAGTCAAAAAGTTTGCCCACCCCTGGGTTAGGGTCTTCCTCTTCTCATTGTCCTCATTAATTCTCAGCAGAATTCCTCTTTGCAGATGCATAGATCTAAGTAGCTTCTCACCTGTCAAGTCTGTCCTCCTAGCCTCGCTATTCCCTTTCCACTTTAATCTGTAATAATAAAAACGTAATATGCTAATTAGACCAGACATCCTTCCAGACGAAGCAGGGGCTGCAATGGAAGCCCGGGTCCCAGGTGCCAGAGGGAAGCCAGTGCCAGCAGCTGGGGGAAGGAAGGCCTACTCTTGCATGAATTTCGTGCATTGGGCCTCTAGTAGGTATATATGTCGTGCGTATGTGTTTGTGTTTAAAAATATGTCTCCTGGTTTCATGAGAAATAGAAACTTCTGTTTCTGATTCTTGTGTCTTGGTCATTTTTTTGGATGATTTCCAAGACTTGTCTTTATTTTACCATCTTAAAACTGAATAGTCAACTGACCATATTTCTAAAATGTAGCACTGAAAGGAAAGGTGGCTTTAAAAGCATCATGGTGCCAAGACTGGTTTGGCTCGGTGGATAGAGCGTCGGCCTGCGGACTGAAGGGTTCCAGGTTCGATTCCGGTCAGGGGCATGTGCCTTGGTTGCGGGCACATCCCTAGTGGGAGGTGTGCAGGAGGCAGCTGGCCGATGTTTCTCTCTCATCAATGTTTCTAACTCTCTATCCCTCTCCCTTCCTCTCTGTAAAAAATCAATAAAAAATATGCCAAAAAAAATTTTTTAAATAAATAAATAAAAACATCATGGAATGTAAAACCTCATTCGTACATGGATCAGATATGTGCTTAAAAAATCAATCATTTCTATTGTCATGACATTCACCAAATGTCATCAAAAGTCACTAGAAGTCCTTAGATGTCTCTAGTTGTTCAGTGAGAACACTTTTCAACAATTCACATTGCGACCGACCAGTGTGTAAAACCCCAAATATACCTCGTACGACTTGGTTTCCAAGTCTTTGATGTAGTCCTCGGCATCAGGCAAGCTCTTGTAATAAGCCATGTTTTTCTTCATCATTTCATCGTCAGGATGCTTCAGTAGAAAGGTGTGGGCAGCTGCTATGGCTTTTGGAAGATTATTTGCCTAAAGTAGAAAGAAGAAAGACAAAAGCCACTCAATGGATGGTGAGCAATGACTTTTGCAAAACTAGAAGGTCTGTTGGATCTTTAGCAACTTAGTGTTTCTACACAATGTTCCCAGCTTAGGGTCCAGTGACTTCCATGGCCCATTAAGACATGGTCCAGCTCCTCTGGGTGGGTGTTTATTCCCTGAAGGTGACTAGATGGCCTCTGCGGGACTTTCACAATCTACTACCCCTGTCTCCATCCTGCTCCATACCCAAAAGGCTGGCCTTTATGGTCCATAACAATAGATTCCTGTCTGGCCGGTGTTGCTCAGTGGTTGGGTGTCTTCCTATGAACCAGGAAGTCATGGCTCAATTCCCAGTCAGGGCACTTGCCCAGGTTTCGGCCTCAATCCCCAGTAGAGGGCGTGCAGGAGGCAGTTAATCAATGATTCTCTTTCATCATTGATGTTTCTATCTCTCTCTCTCCCTCTCCCTTCCTCTCTGAAATCAATAAAAATATATTTTAAAAAATAATAATAATAAACAAAAATAGACTCCCTTGTCCTCTAGATTCCAGTGGGATTCATCAATGAGGAACCCCCATAGGAGACTAAAGAAAGGGAAGAGTGAGGTTGGGTTATTTAGTCTCCTGGTTCCCTCCCTGCCTAGTCACTTTGGGCTGCTGTTGTCCTTTAACTGAAGGTCATAGCTCCTCTCAAGGTGACCCTTTCCATACATACATTCTCTCTCCTTCCAGGTTCTTTCCCTTGCCTCTTTGGCCTAGGAATGGTCACACTCCACTGTTACCAGCCTCTGTAAGTAATTGCCTTATTAATACATGTCCCTCCAATCGCCCAAATGACTACACCACATCTTTCCTGCCAGTCTCTGACACATCGGTATTTTCCTAAGTCTCTCACAGACCCTTCTGCTTCTCTCTCTCTCTTTTTTTTAAATAATTTTTATTGATTTCAGAGAGGAATGGAAAGAGGGATAGAAACATCAATGATGAGAGAGAATCATTGATCAGCTGCCTCCTACACACCCCACACTGGGGATTGAGCCTGAAACCCAGGCATGTGCCCTGACCAGGAATTGAACTGTGACCTCCCGGCTCATGGGTCAACACTCAACCACCGAGCCACACTGGCTGGACCTCGCCATTCTCAATGACTGTCACCACCCAGCAAGTATTTTCTGAGAGCTTCCTACATGCTAGGCACTGTTCTAGAAAGTAACAAGGGGCATAATAGGGGTAGGGGTGAATCCCCATCTTCATATACCATACATTTAAGTAAGTTCTCCTTATCTCCCAGCAACCTCGATTAAGAGCCTATTTTGTTGCCTGTGTTCTGTCTTCCCGCCTTTCACACCTCTCTGCGGGCTCAGCTGATGTGTCCATCTCCCCCTCCACACTGTGATCCTGCTAGGACCCAGCAGTGTCATTCCTGTCTGCATTCCCCGTGCCTGGCACTCCTCCGGGGACAAGGCAGGACACAGGGTCAGTGATTGGACTTGGCATTATGACCACATAATATTGTCATAAAATCCATTCCCATTTTCTTCTCTTTTCCCTTTCTCTTCTCCACGGTTAGGCAGTGACCACCTGATTCTGAGTTTTACTGCTTCATGGGAGGTAACTTCTGGTCAGAATGCAGAAATGACTCATCTGACAAAAGCCCTGTGCTCATGAGAGACCTTGGCCAGTGTGAGGAATGAAGGAAGTTGGGAGAGGGAGCTGTGGGCAGAAGCTGGCTGGCCTGAAAGAAGAAGGACAAAGAGAGAATCAAAGGGGAGCACATATCTGTACGAAATTCCCCCAGAATTGGAGCCAAGTTGTTTAGAAACAACGGTGGTGACTGTAATAGCGAAGCGCCGGGTGGTGATGTGTTGAGGACGCCAGTCAGTGGCCGGCAGTGGGACGGCGCTGAAAAGCGTTCTGCAGTTTTACAGTCCTGGCCGGAAAGATGCCAGCCTGGCAGTGGAGGGAAGGAGGGGGTCGGAATGCAGCCCTTTTACCGCGTGTGCCCGTGGAATGAGGCTCTCGTTCTCAGGAGAGCACCTAGAAAGAGGGGTGTGGAGGGGGCTTTTTAAGGCCTGTCACGTGGGACCTGAGTTCACAAACTGGAACCCCCTCCTAAAGAACAAAGGGTGCCCATTCACTTTAACTCAGCTCTGCCAGCTGGGCCACAGGCCACACCTTGGAGGAGGTGGGTGGGAGCCCTCCCCTGCCATGGGTTCCTAAGAGAGAGACAGCCGCCTGCATGAGAGGACCCCCGCTACCTGCCCAACTAGCCACTCCTAAGTCGATGTGGCGGCAGGCCTTCTGAGTTTGGGAAAGGGTGGTGCCTGCGAGGTGGCCAGTGCTCTCTGCTCAGAGTTCAGAGTCATTAAGGATTTGACAAAGCACTGCAGCCCACTTTTTCCTTGGCCTGTGGGGAAGGTAAGCATTTTTTAAAAATATATTCATAGGTTGACACTCAACCACTGAGCCTCACCGGAAGATGAGCATTCCAAGGAGATGGTGGCCACAGAGAGAGCCCACAGCGAGTGATAGAACCCTAAGGCAGGCTGGAGACATGAAATCTGTAGTGGGCTTGAGGACTTGAGTGCTACACACCTGGAGGGTGGCCCCTTCTCTGTAAGATCACACATCCACGCCTCCTCACCTCTCTCTGACAGTCTGAACTCACCATCCCTCCCCGTGTGTTCAGATCAGACATTTCATCCTTAATCACTGAAACAGTGACAAATCAGACTGGCACAGAAGCATCCACCCAAATCCTGTCTCTAGCCTTTAGGTGTCTGGTACAATGTATGTGCCTGCCAACAGTCGTGGCCACAGAGAGAGCCCACAGCGAGTGATAGAACCCTAAGGCAGGCTGGAGACATGAAATCTGGAGTGGGCTTGAGGACTTGAGGGCTACACACCTGGAGGGTGGCCCCTTCTCTGTAAGATCACACATCCACGCCTCCTCACCTCTCTCCGACAGTCTGAACTCATCATCCCTCCCCGTGTGTTCAGATCAGACATTCATCCTTAATCTCTGAAACAGTGACAAATCAGACTGGTACAGAAGCATCCACCCAAATCCTGTCTCTAGCCTTTAGGTGTCTGGTACAATGTATGTGCCTGCCAACAGTCATTTTCTTTCTACCCAGAAACAAAATTTGAAAATATAAACATCATTAAGAAAAAGTAAAAAAACACACCATACAGTACCACCACCTAAAATCTGTGATTTTCAGTTGAAGCAAGGAAGATTCTTCATATTAATAAAATTCTTAATGTTTTTCTGCCCTAGAAGAGATATCAAAATACTAAGACATGGTATTTTAATGGCTTTTAAGTAAGTGACTGTTACAAGATTATTAAAGGGTTTTGAAGAGAAGCTATGAACTTCATCATGGCATTTGAGGATGCCACAATGAAGAAGAAAACCCAGGCCTTAGGGGTCACATTGAGTAAAATACCCTTCCCTTCCTCCCTACATCATTTGATTCCATTTCATCTATACATTAAAGAAATCAAAGCTTTTGCTATTCTCAAGTCTTAAAAATAAAGTGTTTCCCCTTTTGATTATGTGCTTCAATTTTGGTTCTGACTGCATTTGCCAAAAGCTATCCAAAAAAAGAGAGAGAATTAAACAAGTCATTTTTAGCATAAAAATAGTGCTTGAGCCGAAACCGGTTTGGCTCTGTGGATAGAGCGTCGGCCTGCGGACTGAAAGGTCCCAGGTTCGATTCCGATCGAGGGCATGTACCTGGGTTGCCCAGTGGGAGATGTGCAGGAGGCAGCTGATCGATGTTTCTCTCTCATCGATGTTTCTAACTCTCTATCTCCCTTCCTCTCTGTAAAAAATCAATAAAATATATTTTTTAAAAAAATAGTGCTTGAATGAACCAGCCGTCATTTTTCAATGTCCTGTAAATTTATTAATCTTATCCCTGGTTCCATCTTAAAACTTTTTTTATTGCCAGGACAAACAGTCACAAAACTCATATCTATAATAATAAAAGCGTAATATGCTAATTAGACCAGACATCCTTCTGGACGACCTTCCGGGTGAAGCGGGGGCTGTGAGGGAAGCCCAGGTCCCGGGTGCCAGAGGGAAGCCAGTGCCAGCTTCCAGGGGAAGGAAGGTCTACTCTTGCACAAATTTCGTGCACTGGGCCTCTACTGTTATATAAAACTATACTTGAGCATAAAATAATCCAGCTTTCGCCCTAGCTGGTTTGGCTCAGTGGATAGAGCGTTAGCCTGTGGACTAAAAGGTCTCGGATTCAATTCCGGTCGAGGGCACATGCCCGTTTTGTGGGCTCGATCCCCAGTGGGGGGTGTGCAGGAGGCAGCGGATCAATGATTCTCTTTCATCATTGATGTTTCTATCTCTCGCCGTCTCCATTCCTCTCTGAAATAAATAAAAATATATTAAAAAATAATAACCCAACTCTCCTTCTATTTGGGGTTTAGTGCTATTTTATTGCTCATGTGGCTGTTTCAGTGGAAATATGAAAAACAGATCTTGCAGGCTAAGGACTCAAAGCAAAGTTAAACAAAACAAAACAACCAACTTCTCCACTCCAGAGTCTGGCAAATGTCATGCATCTAATTTTGCAGTCATTAAAATAAACGCAATTATATTGTTTTTAAAATCGTTTCCAATGAGATAAAGTAGAACTGGGGTTCTCTTGGCAAAACCTAGTGAAGACCTGCAAAGTTAAAGCCTCTTTATCCAGTAACAAGGAATTCAGCCCATTCTTAAAACTTGTGGGTCTCCAAGGATAGAGAACTGCAATTTGAGGCTATTTTTAGCCAGCAATCACAGACAGAATCAAAGCAGCCGCAAAAAGGAGCAAGACAACTGTGTTAAATTAAATTCTGGGGACAGACAGACATCAGAGAGCGCCAGCCCTGATGAATCCGAGCTTCGGTCTGCTCCTCCAGGCAGGGATGTGTTCTCCCCTTTCCTGGCCTCAATTTCCTCCTCTTTAAAAGGGATCAGGCAGCGCCTGAGGCCCTCTGCCTCTGAAAGGGACTTTAATGGCACATACTGAAAAGCGGAGTCTGTCTTCCAATAATAGGTAACAATGACCAGGCAGTTGGTTGGGTGGCAGGCATTGCGCTAGATGTCCTATGCACGTATTCTCTGCCTTAGAACAACCTTCAGGAAAGGCATTTCATTTCTGAGATGAGTAAGGACGACGTGATTTGGAGGCGACCTTTGCCAAGACTGGGCGTCTGAGAGCCGGGTCCAGAGAGGGCGGTGGAACCCGGCCCAGCAGGAAGGGGGCGGGGCTTAGGGCGGGGCCTGCGCCTGGGGAGGGGCCTAGGGCGGGAAAGGGGCGGGGCCCGGCGCCGGGAGGACTTG